AGTCTAATGCACAGCCCCTGAGTGTGGTGGCAGGGCCCCAGTGACAGGGTTTGGTTGGTCCTGCCCAGAGGTGTACACCCCTACGTTGGGCCAGGCCAGGCCCGTGCCATGTGGCATAGGCTACAATGGGTCTCAGGCAGCCAGGGCCACTGTGCACCATGGTGGGGCTTTGCCAGCAGTGGGTTCTGAGTGCCCGATGGCTGTTGCTGCAGCTGTTGGGGGAGGGAGGAGCGATGTGCTGTCAAGGGGCTGGGCAGAGGAGACACTCCTCCTGAGCAGTCCCTCCCACCACCACACAGTCCCCCCCCGCACACACACACACAGGCCCACCCCCACACAATCCCCTCCACCCCACCCTATCCCCCCCACCCCCATGTCTCTACTTACCAGGGACAGTGCCTGGGTCCCAGTCACCGCTGCAGCCTGCTCCTGCTCCTATTTGTCCCAGCACACTGCCTGGCAGCAGGGGAAGGGGGCAGGCATAGAGATGCTCTGGCCAGGTGTCAGAGCCTTTCCTTGGAGGACTCAGCCACCTGAAGCATGCCCTGCACCACATTTTTCAGTAGTTTTTTTTTTAGTATCTGATTTCCTAGTATCAAATTTAGAGTCTACGCTGCAAATGTGCAATGTGGGGAATGTTTTTTCATTCCCATTGTGCCTCTTTCAGCCTTTCAAACTGCTTTGAGATACCACAACAGGCATGTGCACACTTTTCTGGAGGCACCCTTAAAGTCTATTTGCCAAGACTCATAAACTTCTTAAGCTATCATTTCTGAGAGTTTGTATAGAAACATATGAGTTTAGCTATACATGATGCCAAACAACACAACCAAAGAAGAACTAAGTCTTACTGAGGTTGGGATTTGTATCCTGATTCCTTCCTATTCCTTTTTGGTATATTTGTCTGCCAAGTCCACCACTGAACCCTTAGTAGTGCAACTGGTTCTACTAGCTTGGCTCCCAGAGATGAGACGGAGTCCAGTTACAAGACTGCAGCCTTTGAGCGCGAGCTCTTCAAACTAATGACCAACAGTGCTTTTTTTGTGTGTTGCCCCTGGCTTTCTTGATTGCTCTATGAAGTTATGAACTTCTAATTTTGCATTTTAAATCAATAACATCTAGATTTTTTTCCAGAGACATAGTTTATTACATTATCATTAGGGTGCTCAGTTTTTAAAAAACGCTTTTCTGTTAATAAATCTCTTGAAATTCTAAAGGAGGAGGAGAAGAGGGAGAGAGAGATGGAGCATTTATTTATCAACAGCCTTTTAAATTTTATAAATAGACAAAAACTGAAGTAGCAACAACTACTTTCTGGTTCACCATGTTATCTTTGACAGATAAATAACAAATTCACCATTTACTTCAGCTTGTTCACAGGCTCTAAATGGCTTAATAGGCAACTCTATAGAATTTAACATGCCATGCTCCAAGGCGCACACTTAAAACTAGAGCAATTCTGTAACTAAAACTCTTATAGAAACAAGAAGCACCAAATGGGGAAGGGAAGGTACTAATAACAATCATGTAGTATGTCTCTTTCCTGTTTTAATTTATGAATCACAAAGTTTTCATGAAATGGCAAATGAAAATCTAATGGCTCATGACACAGTTAATCAGCAGGGCTTGAAGATGATCATTCCTATATATATGCATAAGCTTTCACTATCTGAGTTGAAGAAGCTGCTCCAGGAACTAAGAACAGAAGTAGGTGGTATGCTGCATGTGCAGCTGCTGTCAGATAGGTTAACATCTTGCACCTTACATTTGTGTCATTTATCCCTATGATTTTTCTGTTCCCTCGTATATATTAGTAGTTGAAGTCTGAGCTAAATCCAAAATAACTCTCCAAAGAAACATAAAAATTGCTGAAGATGGGCAAGACTTTTCATGAGGTATATTGAAAAATGAAAGAGGAAATTCAACCTTTAGTAAACAACTAAAAGGGGTGGGTAGGAAAGAACATGCACAACATGAGAGCAAGCTGTATGATATCCTTACACCCCAGGTGGTGATAAAAATATTCACTCAGTCTAAAATATATCTTATCCATTAAAATGTACAACCATCCTGTTATATACAGGATATATATTCATAAATCTGGAAGAATACAAGCTCAGGGATAAAACTTGGCACCCTAAATTATTCCGAACATGTTTGTGTCCTCTCTGATTTGCATCAACTGGCTAAACAGAGAAGTAGTTAACACATGTGGGTTCAAAAGAATTAGTAGTTCCAGGCCTTCATACAGTACAAAATCACAGAGTGCATAAAGTTAGTGGTAAAAGCTTTTCTGAATACTATTTCAAATGACAGTAGCTCATGTATATTTTATATCATTTTCTTTTTCTCCCTTTAGACTGTAATTGAGTGAAGTACACAGAATATGAAGCACATGCTAAAAAAATGAGTCAGACTCAATGCATCTTGGAGGGAATATATAAGATAGAGAAAGTTTGATAAGTTGCATCCTTCAGCACAAATGAATAGACATTTAAAAATGACCTAAATGTAGTTCAGTGCCTGTATAGTGAACTCTATTTATAAAACAACAACAAAACAGTTACTTAAAAAAGAAAGGAGAGAGAGACAATATACTTCATTGTAACTGAAACTGATATTGAAAAAATTAGTCTGAATTAATTCTATTGTGTTTGGTCTGTGTAAATAACACATATGAGCTTTCATGCCATAAAACAATGAGCTATGGGTTAGATCAGGGAAGGGCAAATATGGTCAACAGGCCATATCTAGTCCACTACTTGATTCTATCTGGTCCATGGCTGCCCCCCATGGCACTGTCCATCTTCCTCCCTCTCCCATGGAGGAGGCACCGGCTGGCCAAGGTAAGGGTGATGCATGGGTTGGGGCTGGGGGGTGGGGTGCAGGTAGGCAGGGACGCTGGCACCAACTTTTGCAGGGTCAATGCTGCTTGGCCCCAAATGAATGATTACAGCAGGGCCAGGGGGAAGGGAGGCATGTGCACCATGCAGTTCCTTTTTTTTTTTTGTGTAGGCCATGTGGGGGGCGGGGCAAACATAGTATGGGGAGTTGAAATGTACTGGGGCACAGGTGGGTGGCAGGGGATGTCGTGCTTGTTTACCTTCGCAAACTGTCCTGCCTCCCCCCTGCCACACTTAGCTGAGCGGAGCTGGGGGTGGGTGGCAAAGGCTGGTCCCTGCTCACTTGACCTGGGCTGCATATTCCCTCACATGCCTGGCCTTCCCACCATCCCACTGCCTCAGGCATGGTGCCACCTGCCATAGCCCCACCCAGGAGGGCTGGGAGAGGCAGTTTGAGGGAGCTCCACCAGTAAGCAAGCCACTCCGTGCCCTGCTGCCCTTCTTTAGCTGCATGTGATAGTTGAGCTGCCTCTCAGCCTGGCCTTAGGGCTCCCCTGCTGTACTCCTCCCACCCCAGCTCCTTCTTACCAGCACCCATCCTCACATCCAACCTCCCCAAGGCCTCCCTGGGCTGTGCTTCATGGCTGGGCTTCACTGCCTTTGGT